AAAAAAAAAAACAATTAGTAGTTCTGTTCGTGTGACTTTTTTTTCATTCACTCTTTTTTTATCAGCAGGTAGGAAAGCTTGTGGAGCCCAGGAGCAGGGGATCTCTGTGCTGCCATTATTCATGTTTCCATGGTTCCTCCTCAACAAGCGTGCACTCCGCAGCAGAGCCGTTAGTGGCTGAGGTTACCTGTAAGCAGTCAGCAGGGAGATCTAAATAACCAATCCAAGGCACAGATGATAATAACAACACACACTTCATTTCTGGGTTTAAAAAAAACATCGATTTAGCTTCAGCAAACGAATCTGATTGGTCGATGGGTGAATATGGCGTAAACCAAGCTATGTCATCCAAAAAAACAAATTGTGCTAAATTGTGAATTTTTTTAGATGATAAAGGCTGTAAACATTATAGTAGTGTAAAGCCAGAATACCATGTAGGAATTAATTATATTCCATTATATTATATTTTTATAGTGTATTTGTCTTTTCTGTTACTTGGCAATTAAAACACAGCCTCTTACTTATTATAGCTACTTTGCAACATGCAAAAACTAAGGAGGAATATTCAATCCCACGTCCGACCACTGATGTTCATGCTTTTGGTCCTAAGAGCAGAGTTTCTGCTACTGACATGATGGGATCAGACCAAACATTTATGACCAAAATCTCATGAGGTTTAAAAAAAATTAAAAAAGGACTAAACTATGAATTCAAAACAAAACATTATACACACAACAAACACTATAGAATGAATGCATTGTGAGGTTTTTGCTAGTTTGCAAGCGCTCTACAGTGGAAGAAGCATCTTTGAAAAATGGTGTTAGAAATGTGAGTCGATCTATTTACAGGCAAACAGAACAGAAACAGAAGAAACAGTCAGGGTGGATACTGGGAATAGCAAGCCTTTGCATTTATATGTAAATGTCTGCTAATAAATGGAGACTCAGAGTGGAGGATATAACTTTTTTTACGAAGGGCAGATTGCTGGTGTGACAGGTTGCCAGCGTCGCTAGGCAACACCTTTCACCCTTTAATAAATGAATAGGCTCATCAGCAGACCTTTCCTGCCAGTGTGTGCGTGTGTCAGCAAAGAGCTACATTAATTTAAAAAGCCCGTACAACATTCAAAGACTGAATTCAAACTGTGTTATATTTTACAATGTGGGAGCTGCTTCACAGCTTTTCGATTTCTCAACACAGCTTTCACAATGGGCAAAAATAGATGGTGTCAAAATGCAAAAGCCCTGACAGGGAATGAGTCAGTGGCAGCGCGCTGCATGTGTGTATGCAGGGAATATATGAACTGCTAATTAGCTGCAACACTTCTCCTCTCTGCATTTTCCATTCTACAGCAAGAGACGACTCCTTTGGAAGTATTTCCGGTAAACAATTGAAAGCCTCAAGAAATCCAATCAAGAAATATTTAGTTTTAGAAAACGGATGTAGTGTGAACTTTTGATGGATGGGAAAGCTGCTAAATAATTCCTTAGGGTTATTATGAGGATTATCAGGCGCTGCCTTTTGAGTTAGAGCCAAACCCCAACAGCTTATAGTCATCAGATTAGCTACCTGTTGAGCTAGGGCTGAGTTATCCCTCATTTGCATGCGCTGAAATTTAGAAAAACCCTTTGGTAAGAGCACTTTAAATTCTTAGACATTCCATCAATGCAAAAGCTGCTATTCCGGAGAAATGAAATAAATACATACATACATACACATGCATCTGTTGTTCTCTCGCTTCACTTCTGTCATAAAATAACAGTGGGTGTATTTACAATATTATAAACAAAGATGCAATGATTGAAAAAGAAAAATCAAGCAAAGGTGCAGAGTGAGCATGCAACAAAAGAGAGGGTTATATACAAGTCTCTATGTCCGTAAGCGTTAATTGTACCTTGCATTCATCAACTACGACAGAATTGTTAGCAGTAGTGGAAGCGGTTGTAGCGGTAGCGGTTAGGACGCACTGGTTGGAATTGTTTTCGTGGTGGTTCTTCATGTCGTCGTAGTAAGACTGGGTCTTCGTCATCATTTCGATGTCATCTGACTTAGCCGTTTGTGCATCCAGCTCATCGAGCTCTGCCTTGGACATGTGGTACACGATGCCTGCACCGTAGGAGTCACCAACCACGTTCACCGAGGTCCTGAATCGATCCCTACAGAGAGAGACACCGGGATGTGTAGAGTTAATGAGTAAACAAGGGCAAAGCAAGGAAGAATTTGCGGATGCAAGAAAAACACAAACCTATACATTTCTAACAACAATATACATTTGACTTGTCAAACTCACAGCAGCCAGTCAACAGCAACCAGCAGACTGATGTCTTGTGTTGGCAGGCCGACAGCAGTCAGGATCAGCAGCATAGTCACCAGGCCAGCACTGGGAATACTGGCTGCTCCTACACTGGCCAGGGTGGCTGTCAGACTGGAGGAAGACACAATAAAATAGCACTCAATCACATTCTCCAAAATCTGATACACCAAAGGATCCACAACACTCCTCTTCACCCCAGTGCAACTCTTCAGGCGCCAATGAACAAGAAATGGCTTCACCTCATTACTACAATTGAAGACATGCACTCTCTGTGGCGCTTGTGTAACAAGCTGGAGAGCACCAGAGTGGGTCCTCCATTGCCCATGAAGTGATATAAATGTGGGAGAGGGGATGTTTAATTTGAGAGTTCATAGACTGGTGCACCATAAAAATGTCAGGCTTAAGGTCATCCGTCCTTGACTCGCTCTATTAGAAGAGGAGTATTTGGGGAAGTTAGTTACAGATACTCGAGACAAAGTAAGTGGTGTGTGCAGATAAGAGTGTTTACTGAGCTGTATCCTCAGGCCTCCATTTAAAACCTCTCCAAATAGTGAGGATTACAAATCTTAGAGGTACAAATTGCTTTTCTGAATATTGTGTGGAGTCAGTTTAATCTAATAGGGGCGATAGTGTTACTCTATATATTTTTTCTTTAACTCAGTATATGTCTTCCTGTTTCATTTTGTATAATCGCATTCTGTCTTGTGTCAGATCCTCAATTCCTCGGCCCCCATGTTTGATTAACTGCTCCACCCTTATATGTTGCACCTGTGTCTTATTATGTGCCCTCCCCTTAAGAGTATTTAGTCCCTGTGTTTTCCCTGTCCACTGCCAGTTTGTCTTGTTGTTGTGACTGGTGAGCCTGCATCTTAGCTCAGTGCTTTGGATACCTCTTCTTATGTGACTGACTGACTGTGTCCCTAAACTTTGGACTGATTAAACTCTGTTTTTTAATCTTATTCCTGAGTGCACTTGAGTCCTTTGTATGTGCCACATCGATAGAGTCCATGTAAGATGCCTATTTTCATACAGAGAATGCATAATTATAGTAAGGCTCATTATGGGAACTGTTGGGATTCTCTACAATATCGTAAGGTCTCAACCCTACTGTGTAAAGTTCCTTTAACATATGCTGTAATTTGGTACTTTAATAATTGAATTGCAGAATTTTCCAACATTAATGTAGAAATTTCATACAGAACTAGAAGGAACCCCCTGAGAGGGCATTCCTCCACTAAGGCTAACACCCTATCACACCATGTTGAAGAAAGTGAAAAAAGTTTCATGGAAATCAGTTAGGTAGTTTTTGGTTTACCTTGCTAACTAACAAACAGGCAAACTAACACCAAAGAAAACATGACAAATCTTAAATATTTTAAGCACAAAGAAAAATTATCATAAGTATTTCCTGACCTGACAGTGACAATCTGGCCCGGGTCAAGGTGGATACCATTCATTTGGGCAATGAAGATGGCAGCCACAGCCTCGTACAGAGCAGTTCCATCCATGTTAATAGTGGCACCGACTGGGAGCACAAAACGAGTGACTCTTTTGTCAATACCCAAGTTTTCCTCCAGACAACGGAAGGTGACGGGCAGTGTTCCAGCACTGGAGGGAAAAGCAGAAGGAGTGTAGGGTTATACATTGTATTGACTTAATAAACATTAAGAAGGATCCATCCATCCATCCATCCTGATGCTGACCTAGAGGCTGTACCAAGCGCAGTGATCCAGGCCTGGAAGATACCCAGGAAGAAGGTGAAGGGGTTTTTCCTGACGATAATGAAATAGATGCTGGGCAGGAAGATTGCTCCATGAATGATGAGGCCGATGATTACAGTCACCATGTACATGCCCAACTGCCTTCCCACCACCTCCAGATCCTTGATGGAAATGATCTTACCACAGATCAGACAGGCGATACCGAAGGGAGAGTACCTGATCAGATGAGAAAGCTTTGGTTATTCATATAAATTTAGTATTAAACAAAAACAGTTTGTCAGGAAACTGTCAATTTCACAAAATGTTGCAATGACTTGGCATATAATTTGGTATAAACAGTTATTTCTCTCTCAAAATAACCAAATGAGTTTCAAAATGAGTCAATGAGATTCTTAAGTGATACAAACCACATGATCAGGATGACAAGTTTCATCACAATCTCATTGAGGATGTTGAAGAATTCAATCATGAGTCTGGCCTTCTCTCCCATCTTGCCCATGCAGATGCCAAATGCAATAAAGAAACCAATCAGACCTGTGACAGAAAACCATAAATGTATCCTTAAATTTGAATACCAGTTTGTGTGTGTGTGTGTAGCATGAAGGAACTCTTATACGTATGTGAGACATTTTAAGACTTATTAATGCTGAATGCTAGGTTCATATATACGGAAATGGACATAGCCTTCTTTCTGCACTCTGCGTTTATTTTGTCTTTATTTGTGCACATCTTCTCAGAGCTTACAGATATGGACAAAGTGGTACAGTGCCATCGGAAATTGTGGCACTCTCGACAATAGTTCAAGCGAGACAATCATAGGATGTCAGGAAGACATTTCAGTCAATTTTGAAGGAGGTAATTTTGTGGTTGGTAATAGACAACAGGCATCCTACATGATGTTACTTCACAAGTTAGTTGCTGTCAGAAACTCTTGTGTCTGTGCTGCTCTCTAGTGGATGCATGGCTCAACAGCTATGCCGACATAAAGGACGCATTTCAGTATTGATATTACTTTCAATTTTAGCTATGATAGCGGGATGTTAATGTCTGTTGGTCAGATATTAATAGATTCATTTCCATGAGGTTTGCTGCAGATATAAATGGATCCTAATGACTTTGTTGACCCCCTGACCTTTCTGGTATCGCCACCAGTTGTGGTGACAGAGGAATGTCTCAACAAATATTCAATGAATTACCATGAATTCATTTGAAACAGACAATCATGTTCTTTTTATAATGAACTGTAATGACTTTCATGATTCCTTAACTTCTCATCTAGTAAAATGCTAATGATATTCCTGTTAGCAACCACTGTACTCTGTTTAGCACTAATGAGCCAATAGTGTGCTAAAACACTAAAAAAAGACAGTGAACATGCTTAATGTGGTGCCTGCTTATCTTAAGCATGTTAGCATTGTCACTGTGAGAATGTTAGCATGCTGTACATCCTCACACAGCAGCTAGCATGGCTGTTGGTCTTAATGGTGGTAATCATCTTGTGAGCTTTTTAATGTGGGGAGAAAGAAATGGGGTCACACACCCAGGACATTCATGCCACTTTTGAACTGCAGGGACTTCTTGACGATGAACTGAGGCTCCTTGGTGATGTTGGCGACCAGTCCCTCCATGGTGGTGGCATTGACGTTCTCCTCAATTATTACCTCTGTCTTCTTTGTGACCGTCTGGATCTGAGGTTACAAAGGAAGATATATTAGTGCTGAGCTTATTGACTGACACTGGGCCCATTATGCTATCAAATGACACTCAACTGACAATCATTGAGTTCCAGAGAAAACAGAGTAGTGTAATATAACTGGTTATCCTCTATGATTTAATGTGTTTGAATGTATGTGTAGCTAAATCCTCTGCTAGGCAATAAAAACAGTCCCATGCTTCCCAATTTCCAGACATGATCTTGTTCATCATCTAGTCCTCCATTACCTGTTGGAAACAAGCCTGCACCAGGTTCTCTGGGAACAAGTTCCTGATCAGATCAAAGAAGGCGTCCAAGCTGGAGACATCATCATTCTTCTCGCCCTGGCCCAGATTCTCCTTCAGTTTGGGGTTGCCAGGGTGGATGACTAACACCAGAATGACTCCCAGGACAGCAGCAATAATGGTGGTGGTCATGTAGTAGACCATAGCTCTGGTGCCCAGGCGACCGCTGGATTTGGCATCCAAACCGGCCAGACCTGCAGCCAAAACAAGCGATATTGTGTTTACCTCATAATTACTTGGTCATAGTGAATGGAAATGTTGACTCAATGCTGTGTTGCATGAGGGCTAAATGAAACGACCATCAGGAGATTGCATAAAAGTGTTTGATCATGTGCGCGATTCTTGGCATAATGGAACGAAATGATATATTGCGAATTACAATTTAAATATCAAGATTATAATTACAGCAGGACTGTTGCATCATGTCTGTCATTATCCGTATAACAGCAGTGAAATTGCCCTCACAATAAAACTCACAATAAACAAGCTGGTAACTTGTACTATCAAGTGTGTAAGATAAAAGCAATCGCTAAAGTTTAATCTTGTAATAATGTGATGTATGATCAGTCACACTGCACCTGTGATTAAACTGGAGATGATAAGTGGCAGGATCAACATCTTCAGCATCCTCATCAGGATATCTCCAGGAAAAGCGATCACCATGACAATATCTGGGTGTATTGGGGAGGCCACACGCAGCAACATCCCAGATACAGCTCCCAAGATCACACCTGAAGTGCAAGGCATTTGTTAGTGAGTGAAAGTAAATGTGCATAATGGAAAAGAAGAAGAGCATCAGTAATGAAGTCAGAGAGAAGTGATTACATTTATTTTATAAAAAGAAAACCATTCACATGAGTGTATTCGCTGCTATTGAGAGGAGCTTATATACAATCTGTGAAGAAACAAATGATCTACAATTTTCTCCTTCAAACAGCCTTAATAATTGACTCCTGCCTCATCAATGAGTTGTTTGGAGCTGTGAAAGAGGCTGTCTGCTGCTTGCTTAGCGAGGACAGTTGAAGAGATAAATCTCATGGAGGATTAAGATCAGATCTCTTGGCAGCAGCAGGGTGGCAGCAGCATGTCTCCAGTGAACATTTGTAATGTCTGCAAACCCAAGACGTTTTCGAGGATTTGTGGTGGCGAAGGTGAAAAAGACTAATACTAACACTTGGTGAAGGAGGGAAAGAGAGTTGACCCTAATCTCAGGCTCACTTTGTGCCTCACTGGGATACCCCAAACTTGTTCTGTGACTTCCATTTGCTCTCTAGAATCCTGAAAATGTGGAAAGTTCAACCCCTCTCTAACAAAGCCTCTGTTCACCCTTGACATACTGTATGTTCCAACAACTCGTTTTCTGCCCCGAAGTAAAGATGACCTCTGTGTCCTTTCACCTCCCTGCAGGCCTGCCCACCAGTTCCTGGTATTTGGCCTCCGACAAATCTCCAGCATCCCACCCTCTCGCCCCCCAGGGCTGCACTTCCTCTGCTACCCCACCACTGCCAAAGATCAGACATCCCAAGGCGTTATTTAACAACACAAACTTGGAATCAAAAGCCCTCCAGCCTTCTTTGAAAAAAATAATTGTAAGCTGTCCTCTGGGATCCAATCTAACCTCCAGTCTAGCAGCATCCCATGGATTCTGCACACCCAACGGTTTTGGATGGCACTTGATTTCCTGTGCCTTCCCTTTGGCCCAATTGCAAGCTCCCATTCAGGCTCTTATCTGCCAAGTGACAGATGATCAATGATCATGCTGGCTCACTTGCCCTGCTAGAATCCTGCCAAGTGGGGTGAGATGTACACATGGACACAAACACACTTACAAGCAGCACACAGATAGAGAGGCACACACATTGCTGAACGATCTACACACACACACACACACACACACACACACACACACAACACATCCATATTGCTTACCCTTATAAAATATTGTGAGGAGACCACATAGGTGTCAGACACAACAAAGTATAAATAATGTGCTGGTTAAACACAAATCTGATTTAATGCCTATAACCACAAATTGCATCATTACTTTCGTGCCCTTTACTCTTTTCATTATATCTTTTTCATTAAATCTCCCCCCTGTGGTGCAATGAGTCACTGCTATAATCACAGCATTTTTCATGCACCACTGTTTTGGTGGCCAGGGCCTCAAAGAGCTGTCGACAGCAACAGGTGGCACAGAGCTGAGGAAGGTCAGGACACCAAGTCATCTTACTGTCTGGTACACTGAGCAAGCACAGATTGCCTCTCCTCCTCATTTTACCAGCAAGCTGCATAATCAAGCTCTGATTTAACAGAACACTGATCTCAGTGGTGGTGCCCATCTCTAGCATGCCCTGGGAAATTAGAAAGAAAGAAAGTTTTAACAGCGACGAGTTGACTTACCAAGGACGGTGAGTGTGAGCAGAAGGTTCTTAAACAGCTTGGAGCAGATTTTGGCACATCGGGACTGAGGCCTGGCCTCAATGGGCTCCAGGTGACTCTCGTGCATCCTCACCTCGACTTGTTTAGGCATACTGTTGGCACTGTGACAGACAAAAAGAAAATACAGCTTACTAAATGCACAACCTCTTCAACACAAACTCTTGTCCATACAGCGTTTACATCACATGGTCACGTTCGGTCATGTGGGGTCACAGTGACAATAGATAAAGCATTATGCAAAGAAGAACACCATTAAACAGAAATCAGTCATTCTGCATGTGCTTAAAATATTCGAAAACAATAAATGAAGAAACAATTGTACATTATGAAAAATATTTCAAGTGTGTCATCAAGCTGTCAGTCCAACACTGTTCATGGATACAACAGGATGCTGCTTGTAAAACTACTGTTCGAGTTTTGTGGTTTCAATGAGAACAGATTCAGTTTTTCTCTGTAGTAGAGAGTAGACATCTGTTAAGACTTCTGTAAGTATTATTATTAACAGCTATGATTTTATGGGATTTTAGAAGAATTTACAAGCATGTCAACATTATGTAATGATACTGATTGTAATAACTTTCTGGATGATTTGACCATCCAGATATAATTAGATATATCATAGTTATACACATGAAGTATATAAAGCAGCATTCTAAAACAGCATTCACATCCACAGATCACACTGAAAAAACCCCACAAGTTTTAGACTCACCAAAATTAAGCTCACATCGAGCATTATGTAATGTTTATAATTAATTACAACACGAGCAGACAAACACTGACAAAAATCTCCTGGTGGATTTCTTTGAGAATTAATTTAGGACGACAATGAAAAGGAGAAACAGATGGAGAGGAAGAAAAAAAGAAAATGCCAACTTTACAGAACTAGCACTTCACAAATTGTAGGGAGGAGGAGCAAAAATTGCCTGTTACACACTCTCCTATGCATTCTCAGATATGACTGTGAAAGAGTTCATTTGAAATCACACAAAACCTCATTCAATTTTAGGAGAGAAAAGAAGAGGGGGGGCGTTTATATCCATCGTCTCCTTTAAAGTTGAAGAAACAATTTATCAAATTGTGGGACTTGCTTTGACATATATTTTGAGTATGAGAAAATAGAATTGTCTCTGTGTTGCTTTATATCTTTAACGACCCAACAAAGAAGAAAGTTGGGGTGGATACAAAGAAAAGCAAAGAAGAAATAATGTGTGTCTGCCCTTTCACCTCACCCCTGGGTTCATGGCCTTTAACTCAAAAAGAGAAGCCACAATGGTGAAGTTAATTTGTTTTGTTTGCACACCCTCCCCCTATAGTCCACTAGGAAGTTAGAACACTTCATAGATATTAATCAAGTCGCCTGTCAGGTTTTTTTTTCTTAGAGCTGAAACTTGATCAAAGAAATTCAAATCAATAGACGTCAGTGGGAGAACTTCCTTTCGACCGAAGGGTCTGTATTGTGTCACTGTTGCTGTGGAAGTAGTCACTAATAATTCCACATGAGCACACAGACACACGGAATCGCACACTAAAAGATGCACCTCCCCCGGCTTTGTGTATCGCTGCATTGTGAGCTTGGCTATAGAAGACTACCTGGTCGGCTTCCAGGCGCACAGATGGATATGTCTTATCTCATCTTATTCATTTCAAAGTGAGGTGTGAAAAACAGAAAATACATGTAAACAGCAGGGAAACAGTCGTCACCATCACACTCTCTCGCTATTTCATACTTCTGATAAAAAACCCTGGATGAATTAGTAAAACCCCCAGAAATAAAACCATGAAATATTATGCATTCAAGGGAGATCTCATTCCACAAGAGTGATGATGATGATGGCTGTTAATTGAGTTTTCCACCCTTTTCTCTCCCTTTTCATTATTTTTAGCACGAAGAAAGAGAGCGGAAGCAGATGTTAGACGTCACATAGGTCGGATATTATTCTGTCATGATCCTCTCATTAGCGCTTCTTTCCCCAAGTCAGAGACAGATGAGAGTGGGTCTCTGCAACCCAATGATCGATGAATATGAGAATATGCAGCAGGATAATAAACTCCTGCATAGAGGTGCTATTTCATTCTAGTAGAGGAAAAGGTGTTTATTTTATGGCATGATTTTAAAAGAAGGTAAATACCCTTTGCTGTTTTTTTTATTTAAACTTTCATTAACATGGCATGAGATTTGAATTCATTATCTCAGCTCTAAAGAATCATTCCGGGAAATTGAATCTTCTTCTGTCTCCACGTAAATGGATTTGAGCTGCTTCTGTTCGAAACTGAATACAAAAGCCTTCACTGCGATGTTGAAAGCCGCTCATGAAGTGACTATAATTGATTTTGACGAACACGTCCGGCAAAGTTCATGATTCGAAAGTCATCACACACAGTTTCTTCTCCTCCGTCTCTAATTGGATCACTTAAGAAAGTGGTTAATCTCAGCCTAGGACTTAATCAGATTAATTTCATTACAGGACTCTGAAGCCATAACGAATTCATGAAGATTATAATAAAACACCTGATATCCAAATATGTGACACAACCTCAACTATAAGATGATAAAATTATTCAAAACTACAAATTGTACCCTACATAAGTTCTCTCATTTTCTGCTGATGAATAACAACTTTTAACTTAGACATAAAAAAAGTGATTGCATGAGTGGGCTACAGTAAATGAAGTAAGTTATACCTAGAAATGTAAATGGGATGCATGGTACTTACTTCATTTCCAGTGGAGTTGAGGTAACTGCTATATAAATTAACTATGGGATAAAACTCCAGGCTTTGGTATTTAAGAGCGAATCAGCACAAGAAATTGTTAACGGGATCACAACTCCATCTCAAAAACAAAAGAAGTGCTGCCAGATGTCAGAGGATAAGGTCCCTGGTAGAGCCGGCGGCAGGAAGCACCAGAGCTCTGCTGACAGCTAGGGGCTCTCAGCTGTCCGAGCAGCTCGTCCAAACGCATCAAGAGAGGAGCGAGTCAACACAGCCCAGACGACAAACCCATTCACAGCCACAGCAACCTGAATTGCCCCATCCTGATGTCTGCACCCCAGTCCCCAGCCCCCACCCCCCTGACTCCATCACCACTACCAGCTACAGCCAGCTAAGCTACACACCAAGATACACAGCACGCATACACATCAAACAAACCTAGCATAAAAATATAAATACCTGCAAATGAAAAAGTGGAGGGGAGGAGTCAATATCGGAGCTTAACAGTCAAATCCATCAGGGGATCCTCCATTCCCTGGACCCTGTAATCCCCCCAGAGAGCACAGTCGCAGACTCATCCCAGCTACGAGGGATGGCGAGGGTAAGGCCGGGCTGCTGGGATTTGAGCATGAGGATGCCTGCTAATGGAACTGTGCTATGCTTTGTAAGTAGCCCTTTCGCTGAGAAGGGAATAAACAACAAAGGAATGACGTGTGGGAAGATTTAATATCCATAATGTTGTGGTTTGGGGGCTTTGAGGTCAATTCTGATGGACAGCAGAGAGAAGTTAATGTTTATGGCTGCCTGTTGTTATGCTGCAACATAATATTATATCACAGCAGGTGCTCTCGACACCACAAATGGGGATGCTACAAAAGACCAATCATCAATATCTTTTGATTCAAAGGCAGAGTAGTTGACATCATGGATCATTTGTAATCATGTCTTTTTACGATACTGTCAAAAAATGTTTCTCACATGCCCACCAACATATAGATTTACATATCCCAGCTATTCAATATGACTCCAGAGCTCCAAGGTCCGAGCTACAAATGGCCACCGTGATTCATGTGAGGATGGTGTCACACTGATTTCTCTCTAGTCTCCCAGCAGCATGGGACTTCCAATTGTATTGAGCAGTATCACATCATTCTAATTAGGGAAATGTGTTGGAAAGCTATTTCCTCGTCAGACAAATGACTGGCTGCACAACAAAAGCCAGAGGAATGCCATCTCTGTCGGCAAAGGTTGTGTCATGAGAAATCACTCATCCTAAATCCATGGACATGTCATACTCATTCAAAGGGCTCTCTCGGGGAAAAGGGAGCATTTTCGGGGATGAGAGCGAGGGACCAAGACAGAGAAGAAGGGGTTACAGGAGAGGGGGTTTTTGAGAGGGACACTAGGGGAAAAGGGGTACTGGGGTCACACCAGCACCTCTCAGCCAAAAGAGGGGCCTGTGAGGGGAAGGCTGAGGCAGCCATCCCTGCTCTTGGCTGGTGCCATGTGAAGCTCTCTGCTTCCTCTCTCTTCCTTCTGAGGGGCTTTGTTTCACACGCAAACAGTGGCAGTGGCCCCAACTCGCCCGGCCAAGCGCTGCATCCAAACTGGCAGGGGTGAGAAAGGAAGGGAGGGGGGCTTGAATGGGCGGGGGGGGTATTAGGGTATAGCGCGGGGAGGGAGGGCAGTGGGCATTTCCAGAATGCCAGTTCTTTTGCACCACTGATGTCATGCCTGTGCCCACCGTGGGAGAGCAGCGGAGGGACCAAGGCACCCCTCCCCCCCCTCCACAGTCTCTTTTTCCAGGATGAATGAATCTTTCAGAAGCGGCACCCATTGTGTCCCATAATCGACAGCGATTATCCCGATTTTATGCTGCCTTCCCAGTGCGAGGAGGTTCCCCGAGTGCTGGCATTGAGGGCCGCCGCGATGCAGCAAGGACCACGAGGGGTTGTCGTAGCAACACTCTGTGGCTTAGTTAGAAGGAGATGAAGGGGGGAAAGAGGAAGCTAATGCCACACACACATCCCACACACACACCACAAAAAGATGGGATGCAGCTTGATAGATTAGCAGCTAATATCTTTACATCACCAGAGTAAATTTCATATCAACAAAGAAAGTTGTGAAGCATTGAAACGCTTCTTAAGCATCTACATAATTGATGACAATCATTGCCACTCTACCAACCACAACATGATCTTAAATAATAACACGTTTGCGTTGGAGACCACTGGTGTGATTATACTTCTCTAATTCAATATATATTTTGATCCTTGCGATCGCACAGGGGGGAAATGTAAATGAGGACACCAGTTTCCCACTGGTTTCTCAAGGGGCCCGATGCCCGTTCTCATGACTGGTGCATCACAATATACTGTGAGGTAAAGACAACTGGAGCCGGGCCAGACTCCGGATATATCTGGCCCCCGTGGGCCTCACAGCCACTTGCCATGCAGTGGGAAGAAACGGGCTCACACATCGTGGCTGCCTAGAAGCTGTGAAAAAGCATCCCCCACCCACCCCTCTCTACTTCCCCCAATGAAGCTCTTAGCAAACACTTCAGGTTGTGCCGTGCATAGGAAGCGGGAGATAAATTCCAGCATCAGAAGAAAGGGAAGCATTGTCACTCTACGCCTCTCATTTATGTATCCCTAGGAGGACGTTTGGATGAATACATTCAGTGATAGATGAGGTAGATGTGTGGACTATCATGCAAATCTGGTTTAGTCCATCAGCATTGCAACCTTCTGTTCTTCAATAGAGGAAGACCCTCAAAGAGTGCCGCTCGCTAAGAAACAGTATCTCTTATACGTGCAGGGACCGTTGCAAAACAAGCTTTCCCATCAGGTGGAAGTTGCCTCAAACCTCAACCCCAAATACCAGGAATGAATCAACACTGCCGGGTCCCCACATTCCCAAGGTTTCTCCAACAAGCGCTCAAATTAAATGAATCTACCAAGGTCTCAGGAGGTTAATGGAGATATTATTGCTCAATGATTGGAAAATATGTTTCATTATCAGCCTTTGCTCTGCACATGAATCTTTTAAATATGTCTGCTTATATTAAGCTCAGGCATACATGTCAAGCTACTCCATCTACTACCTTGGTTCCTATCATCTACAACAGAATATCTGTTACAGGAGCGTAGCCTTTTTTTGCATTTGTTTTATTCAAGAGAGTGACCTCACACAGAAGTGTGCAGAGTCACTCAGCGGTGCAAATTGTTTCCAAGTGAGAACAGAGTGAGAATAAAGTTGTATCAAAGACTGGGACAGAGCCAAAGGACCTGCACAGTGAACGACGCTGATTTTTGCTGATATTCTCCAAAATCAATTCCACATTCCCACTCACTATTTCTACACATTTACAGTCTAATTCCACAACATTACTTAGCTGCTGCATAGATCAAAACAAATCAGACATCAACAGTTATTAGAGCGTGTAATCAGTATTGTTGAGGCTTTATTCATTTGTGGGAATAGAAAACACTTTTGCAGCATGATTATTTTTGCAGAATAAAGCCATTCACAGCCATCAGATATTACAACAAGAATCAATTAGGAGGAAAGAAATGCTTTAACTCTTAACAGTTCAACTTTAAAATGGAAATGGAAAGGCACTATAATGAAAAAGCTTAGATAAAGATGCTTTATATATTTTTACTTTTATTTTCTTTATAGTATATAGTAGAAGATCTAAATACTTCATTCTGACATTTTATTACCTGCTGTTGATCTGATTCTTTCTTGCAGTTATTGTCAAGGGCTATTTTAGAAGTAATTTGGCAGTTTGATCTTCAAGGTGTGATCCTTGTAAACTGATATAGTGGAGCTCTCAACTCAGGTCAACCTGACTCTGTATAGTTCTGAAGGAGCCGCAGTTACCAGTTTAGCAGGAGACCCTGAAAGTTCTCATTATTTATTATCATATATACAACTGTATAAACTGAGAGGATAACACATGTATTGACAGCTGACAGCAATTCAGCAGTAAATATTTGCATGTTAATATTATCTGCAAAAGGACAAAACTAAAAATGTGGTTTCTCTTCCACTTCAGCTCGTTTAGGGGCAAGTAAACAAATTCTTCTCAGTTTTTTACTCCTGTGAACATGGGTCCTCTGCAGTATTGCAATATCACATGGTATAAGTGTTGGGCCACTACTTTAAAATCAGAAGGTCTACTTTTAAAATCTTAAGGTTAGACTCAGAAACTCTTTTGTGCATTCATCAGTCCTCAAGATCAAATATACATTGAAGGGTCATAGATATATTTTGCGAGTTTTTTAAATGTTAAATGTTTTTTTTGTCCAAATTGAATGTGGTCTTGCATATGGAGCCTCCATCTGTGTCTACAACATCATCAATCTCCTTTTCAGTTAGTGCATTGTAGCAGCTGTAACACTGTCCCTGCGCTTTCAACACATTTTCAGTTTTTACCATTCTATTTTACAATCAGGCTGCAACGGCATCCTGACAGTGCCTGATAATGCATGACTGAACCATAGGTGCCCGTCCCTCAGCATCCTCTAAGGTTTCCCTTTGTTTGCCACTACTCTTTGTGTCAATAATGAGACGGTCATTAGAGGGAGCCTCTGGGAATCCTCAGGCTAGTGTTGTAGTCTGCATTGGTCTCTCAGATGTGACCAGTCCCACTGTAATTATGTGCTAACTGCCCATTATGCCTGAGAGCGGTTGTCATTGGACTGAATATAGTGATTCCCATCCGCCTGGTTAATGTCAACAGAGAAACTTAGTTTGATAGCATCTAATCAAACTTTAGCTTGACACTCAAATATATGGTCCAATATATGCTGGACCCTACACTCATATTCCATGTTTAATCTTTTGTAACTCTCACTGTTTCTAGGTGATGTTCTCAGAGTGATGCTATTTTTTTCAGTTGGGTCCTTCGGAGGATTTTGTTTCTCCCCTCCCCCCCCATCGTTTGCCTAAAGCTGTTCGGATGAAAGGTCATCGGATGAAGGAAGATCATCCATAGTCATGTGAGATTTTCCTGCCGCACCTCCCCTCAGCCTCCTCCATCACATGAGGTGTTCCACACCTACAGCTCATCCCTCATCTCTCTCTACCTATAGTCGCTCCTGTGTTCACGTCAGCCACATATGAAGCGATGCCACACTGTTATCATTAGCAAAGGCGCATCTGTTTGACAGAGCTGGCGATACAGCAGCACGTAGGTTTTTGATGGTTTCGGCCCGATCCCCACAGGACCTCATTAAATGAGCCAGTAAGGC